GAATAATAAGAAAAAATTTCAATAAAGTTGTGAAAAAATGTTATTTTGTTAGTTTAGATAGTATTTACTTACCAAAACTATCCTCCTGATTTTAAATACTAAAAAATAAATTAATTTTGTGTTAAATGAATCATCTTTATACCCAATTGTTTATATCAATTTTTAGAAAGTAAATAATAAAATGATAATAAATATTGTTTATATTCATATTTGAATTAGAATAAATTAAGAAAGAGTGGAATTTAGTTATCACATTCTTTTTATTTTGTATTATTAATAATAATTATTTATATTCATATGTAAAAGGTAGTTCACTTATTATAACATATTCATGTTATTGTTGGAATATTAAATATATAATTTTTTAAGCGAGAAACCAGCAAATATCAACTGTTTAACTTATCCCATGGAACAGGAGTATTGGTCATTATGATTGAGCATAAAGGTTTTGTAAGATTGAACTTATAAAATCACGATGCTAAAACTCTGCATGTTCTGTGACTATGTGGAAATTGGGGTAAAATAGAAAACTTATAAATAAAATAATAGATTTTTCGAGAAAATAAACTAGTTTTTTATGCGGGTAAATATTTTGAAAAAAATTCATTGGATGTGAAAATCTTACTTTTTTTCAAAATTATACCTTTCCCTCTAACCAAAGTTTTAAAAAATTTAAATTTTTTTAGTCTATTTTTATTTCTATCTACTTCACGTTAACCAAACGAACCCTTACCAATCACAAACTCCAATTTGGAATGTCAAAAGAATTTGTTCTCCGAAACCTTGAATTAATCAATTCGAACCCAACGGACATTGACTTGATCTTATTTTATAATGAACCAACTCATTTCTAAAAGATACGATTCTGTTTTGTAATCGCTTTTTATTCGTATTTTTTTGTTTCGGATAGTGTATTATATCGAAGGTAAGTACGGAAGACTGTTTGATAACGTTTGTTGTTATTTGAATAACATCAAAATATTTTCAAAAAAAAAAAAAAGAGACCAAAACTTTGATGCTTCTGGTTATTTTCGCAGTATAGTAAAATTAGTGATTCAAAATGAAGAATGAAGTTCTTATTTATTTCTTATTACGTTTGATTTGAAGCAATGAGATATGGGCGGGATTCACACCATTTGTCTAAAAAGTTTTCATTTTCCTTTTTAATTCAATCTAGGTGTGAAATGCACATGGTTGTGATGGTGTGAAAGGCACATGGTAAATTCCATTCACATGGTAAATTCGAGTCAAAAAAAGAAAAAATAAAGGACATGGAATCCTTCAAATTAAAGAAACAACGGAACAAAGTTCATTTATATTTGAAAATCTATTTAGAATATATTATCTATAAATTTTTTTATAAATTATACTGATCATCTCGAAGTATGAGCAAATTACTGATCTAATATTTTTTTATATATAAGTATGTTGATCAAATTTTATTAAATGATAATTTATATCTTTTCTTTGTATAAAGTGTAATATAATAAATTATTATAATATACTAGTAGTATTGACTTTTCACAATTGAAGTCACTCTTTAGAAAAAATTAGAAGTAAAAAATGGTGAACATGCCAATAGTATATGAAAAGGCAATAGGATAAGGGAAATGAAAAGGAAAAGTGAGGAAAAACAGACAAACTTGTGCTACACAACATGGGTAGCTTCCCAAGAGGAGAGAATCTACATATGCTTTTGAGTATTACACACTTGGACACAAGTGGCCTGTCCCTGTGGCCGCCTTCTCTTCTCCTCTTACTAAACAATCATCAACACCCCCCACTACAAATTTATATATATATCTATATAGATATATATATATATATATATAATCTACAGAGTACTTTCCTCTTATGCATCGAACTCATTTTTATACTTATACTTCGTCGATATTCATTTTCACTATTTATAATTTAATTATGTTGTTTTGAACTTATTCTTGTACTTAGAGCACTCATTCTTATTATTTATTACTTGATTATGTTGCTCTTATCCTCACATGTTGGAATGCCCGTAAAGCTTTTTTGTCTTCCTAAATTGTGGACTAAATTGTACCGTTGGATTAGTTGACCTTCTCGATTCCAATCAATCAAACGGCTATTAATTTTTTATAGACTCACGTGGCCCGCAGAAACACTAATCTATGAACAAGTATGTTGTATGGCATTTTTGAGATTCTGGCCTCATATAATGTCGGATTTCTCGCCGGAACAGAGATTTGCTTACCCATTATAGGTGATATAATAATAGTTTTATGTTAAATCATAGTGTTGTCTTCATATTTAAAATAATAATAATAATAATAAATAATGTGTAATGCTATAAAAATGGACCAGTCAACTTCTAATAGAATATATATTTTTTCAGAATTTTTTTTTTTTAAATCACAATTGTGTACTCTTGTTGGCCCTGTTAAAGTAATGCAATAATGGGAATAATCAATAAATTCACAGTTCGTTGCAGCATGGGTTAAAGCTAGTAACAATATATATATATATATATATATATATAGCCTGCCTGTCTTTGAAGCGAAGCTACATATATAAAGACTCTTTGGGTAAATTTTTTGGGAAGTTATTCTTTCCTTAATTCAATAATTCCACTTTATATATATATATATATATATATATATATATATTTTTTTTTTTTTTCTTTCTGCAACACATGACATGACTGTCACCCGTGACTTGTCCTGTATATATTCTTCCCTTACAATCAACTTAATGTCCATTTTGTAAAAAACACAACACAGTAAAGCTGGTGGACCTAAATCTTAACCAGCAATCCAATATGCACTATAAAAAGCAGTCATAAGTGCCCAATTTTATTTATTTTTTACCTAAAAAAAAATTCTTAAATATCCACTTCAGTAATTTGAGGGTTATTTGGGTTCATTTTAGAATTAATTGTTAAAAAAATTAGTTTGAATTAGTTTTGAATGTACTGAAAATCTCTTCGATCTATATTTTTACCTTGATGTAAGTGAAACCTATATTTAAATTTATCCATTATATTCAATAAATAAAAATTCTGTAAGCCAAACAAATCAACTAGAAAAATAGGCGTCAATATATATATTTTTTTATGAGTTAATATATATATATATATATATATATAAGCGTAAATATCATTACTATTCAAGAATAAGCTTATCATATAGTTCAAATTTGACTTGATAATAAATGAATTTATGACTGAATATAGTGTGTTATGGTTTCATTGAATCTCTTAAACAATAGAGTCAGAATTGTTCATGGGGACAATTTGATTTAAACGTTAAAACCTATGAATAAGACTATTAATTAAGATAGTTTTATCATTACAAATTTCCATTTTGGACAATCAATCTCTGAGAGCTCTGAAAAGTCGGATATGAAAAATACTCCAATCTCTCTCAACTCTTCATCATTAATGGACTTCTTTGATGGCCTTAATCTAAACTTTTATACATGCCTCTCAATTATAGCCTTTATGATTTGTCGTCACATAAGTGGGTTCCTCATATTTTCATTGGCTGCTGCACTTCCAACTTTACAACCAATTGTCATGTGCCACGTTGCAGTTGTAAAACACAATAACAACCCTATTATTATTTTTTTAATTACCAACTCATATAAGGTGTCCGCCGTATCAGTCGATCTGGGACGTATGAGCTAGTTCGTAATTTTTTTTCAAGGGTCCAATATCATTGCACATTTAGTTTAACCGATTTATACTGATATTCATCCGAATCTTTTACACCGCGACTGCAAATCATAGTGTCTGTATACTGAGTTATTGATATGCTCAATCAATTTAAATGTAATATTTAAGTTGATTGAGAGCATTTTTTTAAGAATATACGAGATTGACCAACTTAAATGGTACATATAGATTGGTTGGGACTATCAAATACCTAGAAAGTACGGACACTTTTACGAATGAGATGTACCCGTGTCGTACCGGTGTCGGACACCAACACTCTTCGAACACGGGATACATGACACTTTATATACGTGTCCATAAACAAAATTAATTTTATTATTTCGGACACTTTGCTAACACTTCCCGGACAATAGTCTACTCATTAATCTTCAAAATAATATGAATAATATCATGACAAATAGAATAATGACATAATTTCATTTTCTAATTCATTTTAATGCAACTCTTAGTATAAAAATTATAAATGAATTAAAATTTTATAATACTATTACTGAATAAATGTATAATAATAAAAATTTATATTATTATAGAGTTGTGTTCACGCGCATGTGCTATTCTTTTAAAATTTGACGTGTTAACGTATCGATTTCATATTGTGTACGTGTTACATAGCCAATGACTGATCTATTCCCATAAGGAGTGCATATATTACTTGTAAAATATAGAGAAAATTACATATAAATGGAGTCAAAGTTCCATATTTACTTAGAGACTGAGTCAAAGTTCTATATTTCTCTAAAATGGATTGCTGAGGTGGCACATGGTTTTTTACTGTTTAGAAAATTGTGGTGCCTAAAATGCCCTTCCCTAACAAAAAAGTAGTACCTTCAGTTCAAAAAAGTAGCACCTTCTGAGAAAAAGTAGTACCTTCGTGGGTGTTTAAAAAATATAGTACCTGGACGCCAAAAAGTAGTACCTTCAGTTCAAAAAAGTAGTACCTTCGAAGAAAAAGTAGTATCTTCGCGGAAGAGTATTTTAGGCACCACAATTTCTAAACAGTAAAAAACCATGTGCCACCTCAGCAATCCATTTTAGAGAAATATGGAACTTTGACTCAGCCTCTAAGTAAATATGGAACTTTGACTCCATTTATATGTAATTTTTCCTAAAATATATACATATATATATATATATATGTATATATATTTTACATGTATATCGGATACATGTATATATAGATATACATGTATATATATTAATAATTACGCACCAATTTGCAACGGAGCAGGGGCCACAACTCGCCAACCCAACAGCCTTTTTCTTAAAACGGTTAAAGAACTATATACATTTAGATCCAATCATCAATGCATTTCTCTTGCATCATCCTTCCTGCCAATATATATGTAGAACCTAAAGCACGGCTATGGCTATACACACACACACACACACACACACACTTCACTCTTCCTGCGGTTATATATAAGTTATAACTTGTACCATATAGAGAGAGAAGCTGGAGAGAGAAGCTAGATAGCTAGCACATATTTTTCCTCAAAATTCCCCCATGGGTTGTACATTACCCTTTTCACTCCTTCTCCTCCTCCTCCTCATTGGTGTCTCCTGGTGCACCGGCGAAGTCCGTCCGCCATTTGCTTGCGACTCCGGAGACCCGGCCACGAAGAATCTTCCGTTTTGCCGGACATCAAAGCCGATGCACAAGAGAGTGAGTGACCTCATCGGACGGTTGACACTGCAAGAGAAGGTGAAGCTGTTAGTGAACAATGCTGCAGAGGTGCCAAGACTGGGAATTAAAGGGTACGAGTGGTGGTCGGAGGCCCTTCATGGGGTCTCAAATGTGGGCCCCGGTACAAAATTTGGCGGGGAGTTTCCCGGGGCCACTAGCTTCCCTCAAGTCATCACCACCGCTGCTTCTTTCAATGCATCCTTATGGCAAGAAATTGGACGGGTCAGATTTTTCTATATAATAATTTATATATACATATACATACAAACTTACCGTAATTAATACCATTAATTTAGACATTTTGGACATGTTTTTTGATATAATTTTATTAAGAGTAGTTAGTTATTTTCTGTATGGTTAAGAAAAGCTTTTTTGTTGTCTTCTTTATGTTTTAGCCTGTAAATAAGGGACCTTTTTGGCCTTTGTGAGCTGGCTAAATGCGCAGATAGAAATGCATACCAAAATAAATAAATAAATAATTCTTTTGGTTCTTGACTTACCAAACTACCCATCAATGCCATTAATTCATTTGACTGACCAATTTTTTTAGGTTTGTGCCCAATTAATCATTCTTGACCTAGCGAACTATCCACCAATAGCATGAGGGGAAGGGAACTCGAGTACATACACATCTGATGAGGGAGTTAAGCATTATATTAATTTTGTTCAATAACATGCAATTGATCCACTATCCAAATTTTTAATTTTATATATGTGTGAGTACTGCCATTAATTAACACCTTATCATTAAAATTATTAAAATTACATTTTCCTCATGTTTAATTATAAAGTCTCTATTCAATATTCCCAAACATAATTGTTTTAGTGTTACTTTCTAGGAACCCATCATAACATAATCACACATGTTGATAATATAAAAAATAAATTTACCCGTGAAAAATTCCACCCTAATTAATACTCCCATTTTGGAGAGTAATATAGTCTAGTCAGAGAGGGTTAGCTACTAAAATGAGGGCAAGTTGGTAATTTAAGCAAGTAAAGACTGAAGAAACTTATATGTGTGTTAAAAAGTAAAGAATGCTAATGTGCGCAGGTGGTGTCGGATGAGGCGAGGGCAATGTACAACGGAGGGATGGGTGGTCTGACGTATTGGAGCCCAAACGTGAACATATTTCGAGACCCGAGGTGGGGACGTGGACAGGAGACTCCCGGTGAGGACCCAGTGTTAGCCGGTAAATACGCGGCCAGCTACGTGAAGGGGCTACAGGGAAACGACGGTAACCGGTTGAAAGTTGCGGCTTGTTGCAAACATTACACAGCTTACGACCTCGATAACTGGAGTGGCTTCGATCGCTACCACTTTAATGCTAAGGTATGCCACCTGAGTTTTGCAGTGTAACACATCACACGTGAGTCGTGACCTGAATCTAATCATTCATTCCTAACCGTTCATTGGCATTTTGTCTACGTCAAGAAAAGCTTATTTTAAAAAATTAAGAGTTACTCCCGATTACAGAAAAATAATACTTGCACTAATTACTTAGGCAAAATAATTAGACTTATTATATTTAATTAGGCAATACATAACAAATATAAAAAATAAGACCCTCCACTTTCTTATTTAATGTATTAATGACCAATCATATATAATATGCCTAATAATTCTGCCTAAATGATCGAGACAAGTATTTTGTCTACATCTAAAAAAGCTTATTCTGAAAAATTATAACGGTAAATATGAATGTATTGATTAATTTTTACCATTCAAAAGGGTGAAAATTTTTTTAAAAAAAAGAAAAAACCAAAATGCTGACATAAAAAAAGAAAAATATTATTTGTCGTCCAAATTACCCTTACTATTTCTTAGGATTCACTTTTTTGTAAGTATTACTTTTGTGCATAAAGTATTACTCTTATTCACATATAATATCACTTTTTGTGTACATAAGAATTACTCTTTTTCAAAAGAATTATGAATACATTGAATTGAGCACAACATTTTATTTTTTTTCACACTGCAGAAACAGAGTATGATGTTGCATCGAATTCATGATAAATTTAAGGAAGAAATTATGAGGAGGTTACTCTTTTTCAAAAGAATTATGAATACATTGAATTGAGCACAATATTTTATTTAAAAAAAATAAAATAAAATATACTCTCAAACACGCAAATATTTACTACGAGATGAAACTCAACACCTTCGTTTTTGATAGAGCAGATGCTAATCCACATGAACTACTCAGGGATAGATACAATATCGAGAATTGTAAAAATAAAACAAAATCATATAATCTTATTTATTTTTATTATATATCTATCTTGATGTTTTATTGTATGATGATTAATTAGGATTTGCTTAGTTTGTAACTCTGATAATAATTTTTAGTTTTTTATTTGGTTTAGTTTTCTTAAAACTCAGTTATAATAAAGTTCATTTTCAGATAACTGTCTTTTATAATTCTCTAATATATATATATATATATATATATATATATATATATATATATATATTTTGAATTCTTGAGAATTGTTTTAGACCCTTAGGGTTTGCTTGATTTGTAACTCTTAAAACAATTCTTAAATTCAGATAACAGAGAATTTTTCTCAGAGAACGAGGGCATATTTGATTTGTAATTATGAAAACAATTTTCGGTTTTCAAAAAACTGAAAATAGTATAAAAAATTCTGGATGGTTTAGTTTTCAGAAAATTATTTTATGAAAATTCAGTTATAAAAATGTTGTCAGTTTTTAAAGAATTATAAAAAATTGTTCTCTTAGAACAGTTTTCTGAATTCTTGTGAACTGTTTTAAGAGTTACAAATCAAGCAAGCCCTAATCTTTTATAGTTCTTTGAAAATAATTTTCTGAAAATTCAACCAAATAAAAATTTTTGTACTATTTTCAGTTTTCAATTTTTGAAAATAAAAAATTATTTTCATAATTACAAATCAAGCATGTCCTTAGTTTTGCACTAAAAATTGTATGATTTTAGTGTAATTGTAAACTTGTGAGAGTGAAATTCAAGATACATGAACTGTGTGAGCAATCAATATTTGCATGGACAGGTAAGCAAACAGGACTTAGCAGACACATTCGATGTACCATTTAGAGCGTGCGTTCTTGAAGGTAAAGTGGCAAGTGTTATGTGCTCCTATAATCAGGTCAATAGCATCCCCACCTGTGCTGATCCAAAACTCCTCCGTGACACCATTCGTCGTGATTGGCGCCTCAATGGGTATATTACATATTCTTTTCATCCTCCATTTTATTCAGGCGATTAATTAGATTTATTTATTAAAATAAAATAATTATGATCAGAGCTAAAGTGCTATCCATTTTTTATTATTTTTATAATAAATTACAAATACTAACTAGTATGACAAAATATCATTTTAATTATCTTAATTTCAAAAGGTACATTGTCTCGGATTGTGACTCAGTTGGAGTTTTCTATGATAATCAACATTATACATCTACACCAGAAGAAGCAGCAGCGGATGCAATTAAAGCAGGTAAGTCCTATATATGTCGCCTAATACAAAAATCACATAAAAATCATATATGTATATATAAATTGTTAAATTATTTTTTTTATACGTAACCAGTACATTCTTCTTATGTAAATTTCAAATATGTACAATTTAGGCTCCGTTTGTTTGAGTAAAAAATATTTTTCGAAAAATATTTTATATATTTTTTGGTGTTTGGTTGTGGTAAAATATTTATGAAGAAAAACAATATTAAAACCTAATAATTATAACTTATTTTTCAATTTTTCTTATTTTACAATCCACACCCGATGAAATCGACCTCAATCTCAATCTAGATTTTTACCAAACACCTAAAAATAAAAATAAAAAATTATTTTACCTAAAAAAAGATTGAAATAATCGGAATATTTTGCGCCTTATAAAAATCGAATCTACTCCTTTATCCGCTCAACAATTTTTTAATTATTGGTGACATGATTTTTACACATATTGATGTCCGGAGCATTTTCCATATATATATATTCAGGTTTGGATTTGGATTGTGGGCCTTTCTTAGCGGTACACACAGAGGAAGCCATAAAGAGAGGGATACTGAATGAAGCAGATGTTGATGGGGCATTAGCTAATACACTTACTGTCCAAATGAGACTGGGGATGTTTGATGGAGAGCCATCGGCTCACCCATTCGGGAACCTAGGTCCTAGAGATGTGTGCACCCTGGCTCACCAAGACCTTGCTCTTCAAGCTGCTAGACAGGGCATTGTTCTTCTCAAAAACCATGGTCCTTCCCTCCCTCTGTCCCCTCGCCGCCATCCAACCGTTGCAGTCATCGGACCTAATTCAGATGTCACAGTTACAATGATCGGTAACTATGCAGGTAAGTCGTTTACACCCAAATGCCCCTATAGTGACTTGCATCTTCCTAGACCTTTCTTTTTGGAAGGCGATGAAGTACCACTGAGCTACGGTCAATAATTCGTTCTTTCATTTTCAGAAAAGAAACATAGAAAAATAAAACTTAATTTTACCTTAGCTTAATTTGAAGTGTTAGGAACCAAAATCATTAATACAAAGGCTCTGTGTAACTCATTGATTTGTTTTGTGTTGGGTCATAATATTTTCACTCACCGACAATTATAAGGATTCTAAATTCTAAATGTTGCATTTGATGCACATATACATGCATGGGACTAATTGTACTATGGAGTTTAGAGCCCAACCCAAAAACTTTTTTTTCTTTTTTCTTTTTCTGATTTTTTTCTAATTTGTTGATTCACAAGGTGTTGCATGTGGTTACACAACTCCTCTACAAGGGATAGGGAGATACACAAGGACAATTCACCAGCAAGGTTGTGCTAATGTGGCTTGCACTAGTGACCAACTATTTGGTGGAGCCATCGATGCTGCCCGTCAGGCGGATGTGACCGTTCTGCTGATGGGCTTGGATCAATCGATTGAGGCGGAGTTCAGGGATAGGGCAGGGCTCCTTCTGCCAGGACTCCAACATGATCTTGTGTCTAAGGTTTCCAAAGCCTCTAAAGGCCCAACCATATTGGTTTTGATGTCTGGTGGACCCATCGATGTAACCTTTGCCAAGAACGACCCACGCATCGCCGCCATCCTCTGGGTGGGCTATCCTGGCCAAGCTGGAGGAGCTGCCATTGCTGATGTCCTATTTGGAACACATAATCCAGGTGTATATGTTTCTTCTCTTCCAAATTGATATTCTTTTATCTCCTTTTTGGGCCTCCCTTATTTTTGGCATATAAATCATCTTTTTAGGACATAAGAGCCCAATACTAGGGTCTAAGTAATGGAATAAGGCCTAATTTGGGCTTTTTGTGCATTAATCTCAATGAAGCCTAAATCTTATATAGTTGATCGTTGTTACCAATCTAATTTAGTTAGAAAATTTTAATTAAGCCGGTGGTTGTATTAGTATTAACTGATTAGATACTAACATATAATGGAATGACAAAAACAACCAATTTTATGACACTTTGATGTGTATGCATTTTCAGGAGGGAAGCTCCCAATGACATGGTACCCACAAGAGTACCTTTCCAAGGTGCCAATGACAAACATGGACATGAGATCAAAGCCATCAAGAGGCTACCCGGGCAGGACCTACCGGTTCTATAACGGACCAGTGGTTTACCCATTTGGACATGGAATGAGCTACACAAAGTTTGTTCACACCATCGCGGATGCCCCAACCGTTGTCGCGGTTCCCCTACATGGCGGCCATGGTTTCTGGAACACAACCATTTCCGGCAAGGCGATTAGGGTAACACATGCCAAATGTAATAGGCTCTCGATAGGTGTACATGTCGACGTGAGGAACTCGGGCTCCAAGGACGGGTCACACACACTGCTAGTCTTCTCCACGCCACCCGCGGGACAATGGGCACCACACAAGCAGTTGGTTGCCTTTGAGAAAGTTTACATTGCCGCAAGGACACAACAAAGAGTTCATGTCAATATTCATGTGTGTAAGTATCTTAGTGTAGTGGATAGATCTGGAATTCGAAGAATTCCCATGGGTCAACATAGTCTTCACATTGGTGGTATCAAGCATATCATCTCCCTTCAAGCAGCAGCATTGGGAGTGATCAAGTCATGATTTTTTGTAGGAGGACGAGTTTGCCCACGTGCCTTTTCTGGTAATGCCATTTGTGTCCCGTCTTCCTCTCGAATACCCCTATGATTTTTGAAATCGTCACTTCATGATTCAATCAATAGCTTGACCAAATAATCTGGTCCTTTGTAGAAACAAATAGGAAAATTCAAAAAATACCATTATTGCTAAGAAATTTTGTAAAGGACATATTCTATTTGTTGGGATTTATATGCCCTGGCATAGCAAATTCCTGTTTGGATTAATTGACATATGTTCCTGACGTTTCTGAAATATTTATGTTTTACACAATTGGTGAATTCAATGTATTATATTTCGATTCACTATGAAATTGATAGTGTCCATGTAATTACAAGAAATATTTATATATATGTATGTGATGGCAATCAATGCATGATATATAAATAGTAATTATAAATTGTTCATAGTCGGTAATTATGGATGGACTCATAATTAATTAAGACTTGAACTGGATCCGCGTTAGGTTGAGATATATTGCGAGAGCCGTCGTATGCAATTACTCCCTATCACCGTCATGGCATTTGACTCTTAAGCATGAGAAAAGTATAGACTCTTTTATTAATTAATAATTACTTTGATTTGTTTGGCGGATTCTTCGGGATCCTTAGACCGACACTTCGGGTAGTTATGTAATTAATAGTTAGAGGGTTATATTTTCAATATTTGCATCATTGCTACTTGTATTTATTTTGTATTGATTATGGTTGATCACAAAGTAAATTCGAAGGCCTTCGTATGATTTTAGACAAAATGATTTATTATATATTTATTTATTAAATTATTATTTTTGTCGAACAAATGTTTTATTGTGATCGAGCCAGAAATAATCAAAGGTACCAAAATAAATATATTAATTAAGTAGTCGGATTGATGGCATTATTTATCCGATAACTAATTATGCATAGAGGGGTCAAAGTGCAACATTGACTTAGAGGTTATTTATTATTTAATTGGAGTTCAATTAATTTCTTTTAGTGGAGTAGAAATTAATTTATGAATTAATTTAATTGGGTCCATGGACTGGGCCAATCATTAATTCATTGTAGCCAATAAAATAATAGGCCCAATGGATTCTCACTCATAGCCCAACTTGATATTGGAATCATATTAGATTTGAGACATGTGATTGAGAAGGATTAGTTGTTTCCTTTTCTTTACCTTTATGTTGCCTATAAATATACATGGTCTATGTATATTTTAGGGGTGATTTTGATGAGAAGGAAAAAGGAATATTTTTTCTCTCTCTAGAAAATTAGGGTTTATGTTCTCATCTAATGGAGGCTCCCACAAGCCTAGTTTTCCAAGGTAATTCATAGAGGCTTATGAGTGATTCCTAAAGGCAAAATAATTACCAAAAAGATGGAGATCCAAGGAGAAGGCATCTTGCTAAGGGATTTACAATAAGTGAGAACATTCACTTTAGAGGAAAGTTTTAAAGGTTTACTCAGACCTTTGATGTAAGTATTCAATCCATTAATTGAATGATACATCATATTTTTATTTTTGCATAAAACTTGTCTCTATGTGATGAATCAAGATCTATGAATCAAAATCCCTCGGAAAGTTTTTAAAACTTGCACGTTTCCCAACACTATTGTCATTAAATCAAATGGAAAACGCGCACTATAGTCTTTTTCATTTATCTGTTTTTATTTTTTCTTTTTTTATCTTGTTTCTTTATTTATTTTTATTTTTATTTTTGTTTGTAAATGAGTTGTTAAACTCAATTATAGATACAAATTGTTTTTGCAGAACATAGAATTTTTATATTGAAATTTTTTTTAAAAAAAGAAAAGAAAAGAAGACCTGGTAAAGCCTTAATTGCTAAAGATTGGTTAACGTTAGCTTATAACTAGTTATTTGTACTCTCATTGAAAATTTGAAAGCAGTGTTGCATACTCATGTTAGATACTGTTGGAATTTGTATGCCTTGTCATAGTGAATTCTTATTTAGATTAAAATGACATATGTTCCTAGCAAATCTGAAATGATATATTTATACTTTATACAATTGGTTAATTCAATGTATTATTTTTCGATTCATTATGAAATTGATTATGTCCACTTGATTACAAGATATATTTATATGTATGTAATGACGATCAATACACAGTATAAATAATAATCATAAATGGTTCAAAGTCGGAAATTACGGATGAAGATTTAATTAACTAAAACTTAAACAGAATCCACGATAGGTTGAGATATTTTGCAAGAGCTATCGTATGCAATTGCTCTCTATCATTGTTATGGCATTTGACCCTGAAAGAAATATAGACTTTTTATTATTAATTATTAATTACTTTGATTTGTTCGGCGGATACTTCGGGATTCAAAGACCTACACTTTGGATAGTCATCTAATTAATAGTTAGATGGTTATATTCTCAATATTTACATTATTGCTACATATTCTCAATATTTGCATTATTACTACTTGTATTTATTTTGTATTGATTATGGTTGATCACAAAGTAAATTCGAATACCTTTGTATGTTTTAGACAAAATGTTTTCTATGTATTAATTTACAAAATTATTATTTGTGTCAAATAAATTTTTACTGTGATCAAGCAAGAAATAATCAAAGGTACCAAAATAAATATATTAATTATGTTGTGACGGCCCTGGTTTTTAGGTCAGTGCGTCAGTGATGAACCGAAAGGATGATCCGATAACTGTAATGACCCGGACTTTTTCCTCATTTTTCATTTTTGGTGATTTTCTTTTTTTTTTTTTTTTTCCGTTTTTTACTCGTTTATTGTTTTTCCTCGCTTAACCTCACTTCGGGTGTTCGGATTTGATTCCGATTTTGCATGCATTCATGATACTTGATTTTCATGGCATTGGTGTTTTCACTTTTGTTGAAGAGCATGCTAGTTGCTTTTATTTTTCATAAAGGGCATGAATGCATACTTTAGTGTAATTATTCATAATTTTTGGGATTTTAGTGTAATTATGCAAAATTATTATTTTTCGTTTGAGGGACCTTTTTGCAATTTATTTTAGAAGATATTTTGAAAAAGGACCATTTTGCAATTTTTGGAAAGTGTGACAAGTGTCACACTCTCATGGAGCCATTTGTTGGCATTTAGGTGAGGAGACTTGGCACCATGATCTTTTGACATTTGGTGGGTGGAGATTCATCCATGTGTTGGCCTTAGATTGGTGCACATGTAGGCATTGGATTGTTGACAAGTGTAAGCTTAGGATTAAGTCTTGGAAGAGACATTGGATTGTTGACAAGTGTAAGCTTAGGATTAAGTCTTGGAAGAGGCATTGGATTAGTGACAAGTGTAAGGCCATGATCTAGTCTTGCATTGTGTGTGTGAGAGAGGTAGTGTAAGAGCACATAGTGAGTGGAGGATCTCTAACCCTTCCACTCACCATTTTTCACTTATCCTCTTCATTTTCCTTAGTTTTTCAAAGTTCTAACCTAGCCACCATTGGAGAAAAGCTTGGTTAATAGCTTTATTCTTCAATTTTGGTGCCCTTCCATTCATCTTAGACTAAGAACCTTAACTAGTAAAAGTTTCCTCTCATTCTCCTCTTCATTAACCCTAAGCTTGTTTTCCATTTAGTGATTGGTTGCTTGGATTATAGAGATACAATTCTCTATTGAGGTAGGGGTGGTAGTATGTTTATTTTCTAAGTGTTTTGAAATCCTTTGGGGTTTAATATATATTGTATACATGCTTTTAGAATTGTAGTATTGCATACTATAGGAAATCCTTATGATTGACTTAGGATTTCATTGATCAAGCATATATGTTGTATATATATCTTGAGTAGGATTGTTGAAGTTTTATAGAATTCTTAATGATTTGAGTTATTATGCTATTGTGATGGAAATCCTACATTCTAGTATATTACTATTGATAATCATGATTGTTTTAGAAGCTATTTGCTAAAATGCAAACATTTAGTATATATGGCTTATTGTTGAGGCATGCTTAAATTGATAAGTTAATGATATTGTTTTGTGCATAATATCATGTTAAGAACTTGTCATCTATCATGTCATTCTAGATTTGGAACCCTAAGACATGGTTTATATGGTTTCAAAGTACTTGTGCATGGAAGGTGGTTTATATGCCTTGTTATCTATATATAAGTTTTGAACTTAATATATACTTTGGATTCTCTTAGGACATGGTTACTAGTAACATGGCTAGAGTTTGGCTCTAGTGCGGGAGGTATGAGTTCTCCCCAATCGAGATAGTGCGCACTTAGGGTGGTCTTCCCTACGGGTTAATGCCCGGAATAACCGTTGAGGTCTCGGCAGAATTCCGAGCTTAGGTGTCCAAGGATTCTACTTTTTTTGATTTCGCATTCATTTCCAAGTTGACAATCAATGCTATTTGTAACTTGTAAATTTTGTTATATGCGGTTTGATGTTGCTAAGTACATCCATTTTGATATTGTGTTGCTAAGAAATATTTAAGTTAGCTTAAGATGATCCCTTAGAACACCTTGAACATAGACGTTAAGTGGAATGCTCCCTTGTATTCGTCTATATTAATCTTGCAATGATATTGAAACTTTGGGGTATACGCATATGCTTCTCCTACGAGTAACTTGATTACTCACCCTAGTGGTTTGGGTTGTTTTTCAGGTAAGGAGACCATGTTCTTGGATGCTCATCATCCTTAGAAGATTTTGAGTTATTTGAAGCATTTTTGTATATTGACATGCACTTGTTTAGCATGCCTTCCTTTTTGGATGTTGTGTATACCATGGATGTATGGTATTGTAGAAGCTAAAATGGCTTCCTTGATGTGTAATGTATATCTAAGAACACTTGAAAATGTCTATTTTGTATGCATAACATGAGGCCAAGTGCCATGTACATTTATATCACATGTATGCTAGTTTAATCCCATAGTTGTCTTATGAAATGATGAGAATTCGAGGTTTGACAGGTTGTATTTTGTATATGACATGTTATGTGACCATGAGCTATTGGAACACATGCATTTTCTCATTTTACATATGTGTGCATGTTTACTTTGGCACACAACACCATTCTTGAAGAAATGAACACTTAGAGTAGCATTCATTTACATATTTTTGCTAAATGAGACCTCAAGTGCATTTTTGGTATTTCACTTGAAAAATAAATGTTGGTCTTGACATGGGTGACCAGAAAACATGATTTTAAGGGGGGTTACTTCACAACTTTTTTCCAAAAAAGTCCCAGAAAGTCCTCAAAATGGCATTTCAAGGTCGCATTTTAGGTGCAGCTACAGGAGTTCGAGCGCTCTAAATGGGA